AGCTGGCAGAGGTGAGGCTGCACTGGGTTTAAAGCTTGTCTTTGCAAAAACATGTAGTATGGGGATAAAATAGGTTGTTCATGTATGTGTAATCCATTGTCCCTTCCCCACCAGACACTACGTTGGTGTAAGCATCTCAACATCCCCGAGGTGACAGTGTACGCCTTCAGCATTGAGAACTTCAAACGCACTAAAGATGAAGTGGATGGGCTGATGGAGCTGGCCAAGCAGAAATTTGAAAGGCTGTTGGAGGAACGGTGAGTTTCAAGTTCGGGATTCTAAACATTTTAAAATAGGTTTTCACTTTGCTGTTGATTGTGGGACATCTTAGTCACATTTTACACATCATAAGACACTCAAAGTAAAGTTTAGAGGAACCAGATGCAGTGCTGGAGCACTGCTGTGTAGTTAAAGTAAGTGTCTTTGCAGGGCTGAAACTTGCATATTTCATTTTCAGGCTTTGCCAAATTGAATCAAACCACCTGTTAAATGTTGCCAGCTAATGGGGCCACAGATGTTTTTGTGCCCTATCAAAGCTCACTGTTGATGTTTTAAACTCAATAACGTTGACATCGACAGGACTCTGGGAAGAAACATTGGATTTTTTTTTCTTGTAATTTATCACAACATTAGTCAACAACACCGACACAGAAACACTGTGTTGCCCACAGAGTAAGTTACTGTGGACTGATGCCAGGGTGGCCAAAGGGAAGAAAGGCTGCTTTATAAATAGGAGTGCACAATATCAATTATTTCTGTTGCAACTTTGACTGATACTGTCTCTTTCACATGCAATATGCCATGATGTCTAGTTTACACCCATGGATTTTGTTATAACTGTGCAAATATAGATGTCGAAAAAAAACACTTATCTAACTGACATCTGCCATGGTTGGATTTTGAAGCCAATAGAGAGGTGTGTTAATCCACAGTTCCAGAAATAGCCACTAGATGCTGAGAGAGAGAGAGAGAGAGAAAGAGCTCTGCTATTGGATTGCCAGAGCTACCCTCATGTTTTTAGACAAAGAGGAATATTTTACTCATGACTAATTTCTTCTGCCTTGGCCAAGATGTCAAGTGGCATGTTGGCTTCACTGCTTATGTTTACTTTGTTCCTCCTTTCTTAAGAAACACGTCATTCTTTGGAAAATGTCTCAATTCCCTGAAGTTGATGAGCACAATCAACTCAAAATATAATGCGCGTCTAGAATTTGTTGTGGCTCTGCAGTTGTGAAATATCTTTGATCTTGATTGTTGTGGCACTGGGTATTTTCAGTATGTGGATCAAGATATCTTGCAACCATTTTTTTAATGTTTACAAGGCTGATGCCACCAAGACGATGGTTTATGATGGAGGCTGATTAGTGTTACTGTGTTGAACACCAACATGTGACTAACTACCCATACACAAGACACTGGACTTCAGACTGTGTCAAACTGTACTCACGGAATACTAACACTTTGTGCAATCCTGGATGGGAAATGCAGACAGACACGTTTTAAGCAGCTGTGTAGTCATGCTGTTCTCCCTGTTCTTCATGCTCCTCTCTCCTTCTTTAGGGACAATCTGGAGAAGCATGGTGTGTGTATCCGGGTGCTGGGTGACTTAGACATGCTGCCACTCGACCTTCAGCAGCTGATTGCCAAAGCTGTGATCACAACCAAGGCTCACAATAAGTATGTTTATTAATTTAGCGTCTCCCTCTATGACCCTCATCATTAGTAACTCAGTGTTATCACTTTAAGACGCACCTGACATAAACAGATTATACATTATGAATCACCTCAATTATACAAACGCTTGTTTTGCAGATGTTTCCTGAATGTGTGTTTCGCCTACACGTCAAGATATGAAATCACAAATGCAGTCAGGGAAATGGCCTGGGGAGTGGAGCAGGGCTTGATCAAAGCGAGGTAAACAATGGGCAAGACAGTACTGAGTTAAACTGTCTATATCTTAATCAGGGGAGCTGTTTCTTTAATGAGCTGTTTTGTGTTTTATGTGGTGCTCAGTGATGTTTCAGAAGCGCTGCTAAGTGAGTGTCTGTACAGCAATAACTCTCCCAATCCTGATCTGCTCATCCGCACCTCTGGAGAGGTGCGCCTCAGCGACTTCCTTCTTTGGCAGGTGAGGATGAGAATGACTGTGTGGGAAGATGACACCAATTGAAGATGAGAGTTGTTGTCTTTTAATTTGTCCCCTGAGAGATCTCACTTAAACTTTGACAACATTAAAGTAAGATTGAAGATATGAATTTCCAAGCTTGATTTAGTGTTTGTTGATCACTGCAAATTAGCAGTAACGATTAAATTTTTTGAAATTACAGTTGCTGTAGTCCTTGGTAGTTAGACTTGTATGTCAGGTTATTCTGCTCCAACCATAACTTTGAATAAGGCTTTCAGTTTATGTGGACATTGCAACTACTGTGTCTTTGATGTCGACAAAAAAATATCTGCAAGACCTGTGAATGCATGTCATGATACATGATACAGACATGATACAAGTGTGTTTTTTGTTTTTCCCCTAAAACTGGTTGGAGTGACATTATGTGTTATTATGCAATTGCATTCCATAGGACTTTAAAAATTTAAATTGATTTTTACTGAAGGGTTATCTTATAAAGCCATCAGTCTTAAACAGCATGTTCATGTCAGCTATAACAGACTCGATTGCCTTACAGTGGATTTTTGGGGCTTTGTCATTTTTCTTGAATTCTTTACATGTTTATCATCGGACTTCTCTAAGAAAAGCGCTCTGTTTTTCACATAACATTTTTGCTATAACTGCTTTCATGCCTATAAAGTATTATCCACCAAATTAGGGGTTGAGTCCATGACAGACAGTATTAACCAAGTAATAATTTGACCTGCAAAATCACACTTTATCAAACACTTCGCAGCTTCACCTCTGACATTTGTATTGATTCACTTTTATCTTCTATCCCACAGACTTCCCACTCCTGTCTAGTGTTTCAGTCCGTTCTGTGGCCAGAGTACTCTTTCTGGAACTTGTGTGAAGCCATTCTCCAGTATCAGTTAAATCACAAATCTATTCAGGTAAGACTTTTATTGTGACACCATTTGTTTTTCATTGTATTAAATTGTATTAAATGTTTCAGTTATATTTAGCCTACCTTTATTGATATAAATGGGGTGGACAAAATAATAGAAGCACGTGTGCGTATAACACAATATATTTACTGCAGGACTGTTGTATTATTGCATTAGTTTCAGCCAGGTGTATCTAATATTGACTGCCAACTGAGTGTATCTAATATGACTTTAAAACACTCACAAACTGATGTAATGTAGCCAGGTGAGAAACATCAAAACGCAAAGGAATATATTCCAAATGCAGGAGAAACTTTGTCGGCAAGTTTAAAAATAACTGGTTATCAACATATTCATCAAAATTAAGGATATTTGCTATATGAAAGTATTGCATCAGAAATGATTCAGCAACTCGGACAATCTCAACAAATGCCAAACATTGTTATATGCACATCAGTTATTTGGGGCCAAATCACAGAAATTAAATTTAAAAGAATTGCATGTTTTGTTGCAAAACAGCTAAGACTGATAACCTTATTGCCTCGTCTTAATGGCTTCAGCTCTGTTGGCCAAATATCAAAACCTGAATGGGTCAGTTTATCACAGCCACTTCTTTCACAGACAAAGGAATATCTTTTACTGTTTTTGCAAGTAATACTGGCCTATTACTTGCAAAAACATACATCTGTTAATGTCACCAAAATAAAAAGGACATGTCTTTAATCAGTAATTAAAACAATTCCTGCTTATGTAGGTCTAATTAAAACTCAATGTGTATTGTATTTTAGAAAGCTAGAGACCTCCATCGAGATCACCAGGCCTTACTGCAGCTAGAGGCAGATCGTGCCTGTGTAGCAGAGCACCTGCAGCATCATGGGAATGGAAAACCTGCCGACGCCCAGAGAAGACAAGAGGCACTGCTGCACCACACCGCCTGCCGGGAAGAACGAGTTCATGATTTCCTAGAAGCACTGAAGCACAAGAGAGACTCTTTCTTTAATGACTTATGCACTGAAGGTGTCTTAGCCTAGGAAGACTCCGAAGACGAAAGCAGTTGGTGGAATGGGGATGAAATCTGTCTCGTCCTCTTCCCAAAAGGGCTTCTGTGGAAAAGAGAAGAGTGAACAGTAACTGGGAACAGTTTCATTTTGTTGCTTATTTGTATGATATGAGAGGGCAATTTTACCCCTATGGGGCTGTAGAATAATTGTGATATTTATGATTGTAGATTTAAAAAAAGAAAAGAAAAGAAGTCTAATACATGGAAATGTCTGGTCAAGATATAGTTAAATAATTGTGTGAGTTATGTGTCAGATGCATGCTGTTGCTTGGAAGATCTGATTCTACGAGTGAAACCCAGAGATCCTTTGTTTTGGAAATGCTTCCAAAGCAGTAACCCGGATTAATCTAAACCATTGCTGTTTTAATATTTGTTGAGGCCCAAAGAAAGTGTTGTCTCTTGAGTGTGATGTTGATGAACTAGTAACTAAATTTTGACCAGCTTTCTTAACAGAATAAAGTGATTACTGTATGTCAGTTATGATTGAATGATGTATGACTCATACCTTTGTACTTGTGTAGCACACGTCACTGTTGACTGTCTATTAACAGTTACCCCAGTTCTTACATCAATCTGTCAGTGTACTGGTATCTAATATCTTAACCTATACTTAAGACATTATTAAACAAACGTCAACCAACTACAGCAGTAAAATGCTGCGTACACATCAAGATGCAACAGTAATAATAATCGTATAATAATATACACCCACTATTTTCCTGCGTTGAATACTTTTACTTTTGATACATAAAGTAATATACTGATAAGACTTCTGTAGTTTTACTTAAATAACAATTTCATTTCAGGACTTTTATTTATAACTGAGTATTTTTATATTATAAGAAAAAATATATTGTGTAGCAATTACAGAGGAAGCGCTCTCTCTCCTAAAGAAGCCAACCTCAGCCTTGCTGCTCCCATTCTCGGCAGGTTTGACCATTACTTTGGTTCCCTTCTACAAAAAAAGCATAACAATTGATTACAAACAGATTACATTATCACATGCTTAAGACTAATTTACCGAGCATCTAAAACGTTTCTCAAAGGCTTTTGCCTTGAACTTGGTCAAACTTAATGTCCCTTCCAGGGCAATGAATCTGTTTCACATGTGACACAGACAGAGGTGTTCTGTTGAGATCAGCTAGTGTTATCAATCAGTTTCATACTTTTGCTGCAGCTTTTTTCTTAGTCTCCACTGGTGTCGCATTAGGTTTCTGCAAAACAAGAAGAAGGAAATTTTGAAATTGTATGTAACAATAGATAACACAATAGAAGTGCACGAGTGAAAAAACAATGGCTTGTGACACTAAGCATATTATTAGCTAATAATCCCTGCTTTTTACTCTAACTGCAAAACACTGATAATAGGGTTTGTTACCTCTTCTTGTCACAAAAAATAATAATTAAAAATGAGATTTTAATAACAGGATATAAAATGGAACATGTATGTGCAATTCAAATAAGATGAGTTTATTCATTTTTAAAGGCTGAAGTTATTCCTTGGAGATGAAGCTGTTCTCAGGAAACAACCGCCTTGTGGAGGAGGACCAAGTATAATCACAAACCAAAATAGTAATCGTTCATAATCAATTTCTTAAGTGTGTTTCTCAGGACCTTATCAAGGCCCGCCATAGGGAACATCTTTGCTATAGCGATATTAGGAAGAAAAACTTCTGTGATAATTGCAGATGGAGTTACCTTATATTTAATGCAGGACTTTAACTAAATATTTACAGGCCTAAGGTGGGTGCTGGACAGATTATCCAGTCAAACTGAAAAATTACATTAAAGGCAGCAGTTAATCACGAATCTCAAGCATCAATATACTGAAAAGGTGAAATACAATCTAATTTACTTTTACAAACTGCAGAATTTGCAGAATATTACAATTAGAATACCTGCTAATATCAGGCCAGAGAAAATATTTAGGACCTTTGTAAATTTCATCTCATACCTTTGAGGGACTTTTTGAAGAAACTAAAATCAGTGCTTTTTTAAAAACTTTTCCTGCAGATACCCTGAGAAACTTTGAATACAGCGCCTCCCTGCGGCACTAATAAGTATTTTTCAGGCTGCCTCCTGCCTCTTTAACAAATGGGTGGTACCTGTAAACATGTGACATATCTACATCCAATGACAGACTTCGAAATACAAAACTGGTTCAAACCGGTTTCGTTCTTATATTTCAGTGTATAAACTACAAAAACATTCGTTTGCATTATACATTCGCCATTTTACACAGCGACTGGTTGGTTGTTGTGTGTCATCTCTCCGCGAAAAGCCAAATTTTACGTAAAATTTTTCTGAGCTTTCCGTTCATTTCCTGCCAGCAACATGGGCAAAACGAAGGTAAGATTTCGTATTTTTATTTTATTTTAACTCTGCGCATTAGGCTCGTGTTGTTAACTTGGGGTTAACGTTAGGCAGCGTTTGACATTTCTGCATCAGAGGAACGTCATCATCCCCAACAAACGTTACAGCAATGGCGGTCTGACAGGAGACCTGTTCAGGCATCCTCCCATTTGTCGAAAAAATAAAAGTTTATATTGTTGCTAGTCATGTAAAATATCTTCGAATCAGATTAAAAAAAAACAGTTTTATAAAATACACGGTGATAATTTCATGTCTGCGTCAAAGCTCTTACTAGTGCAATCGTTGTCATTGGGCTGTGTTAAATTCTTGGTACCGTCTGTGTTTTCCCTCTTCGTTTTGGGGGGGAATCTTGACAGGTTAAAACGCAACAATAAACTTTCGATTCACGCTGCAAATGCATAGCTAAAACATTAACACGAATGCATAACTGTTGATTTGAAATGAACAAATGGTCAACAAATGAAATGATCAAAATAAGTTCAAACATAACCTGCAAATTTGAGGAAAGAGCGGGGGGAGGGGAGTTTTTTTTTTTTTTTTTTTCTCCACTGTTTTGAATCAGAAAAGTCAGGCGTGTTCGTGTATGTTGATTCAAAGCTGTTTTTATACTTCATTAGCCAGTTTTTATTTAATCAACCATAGCTTTGAAATATCGAAATCCGCTGATGTTTATGTGCACCAGTGCGTATCAGTAAATGCACAAATGTAGAGTTGTAAAAACATTTATGATATATCCCAATAATGGTACACCAGGATTATGTTAATTTTGCGTGTAATTAGTGGTTACACGATCCTGTAGCAACGTCGTGTGCTCTTAAAAAATACAAATTTAACATTTAAAAATTAGATATTAACAAATAAATATGACTCGGGTAAATTAAAATCTCAGCTCAAATGTAATGTTGATTTTTACGCAACCTCTGCAGCCTTACGTATGGGTTGCATTTACCGTATCGCGGTAGGTACAGATTAGTGAAGTAGTAATCTTATCAGTTTCCCAACAGCTGTGTGTCGGCGCGCACTGATACAAAACAAAGGAAGCTGTCAGGGCGCCAAGGCGGTGTACTGGTGACAGGACAGCCCAAATTTGAATTCAAATATGCGCGGGAAGTTCTTTGTGAATTTGAGAATCGGCAGCAGTGGGGAAATTTTCTTAATTTGTCTTTAGGTCTTGTGTGTTTTATTTTTCTGCCGGTACATGATCGTGTCTGCAGAGAGACACCCTGTGATTTTTTTTTTTAATATTATTGTGATGTTTGAGTTGTTATGAGTTTGTCATAAAGATGGTATTTTAATTGTAATATTCTGCTTTTCTGTTTCTTGTCTTTTCAGCAAATTGTGCCCCCTGAGGTTTGTATAAAAAAAAATTGTTTATATTTGTATTTGTTTATATTACTCATATTACATTGATGCTCTTTTTTCAGAAAGTAATTCAGATTGTATTTGAATTTTTCAGTATATCTAGATTTGTGGTTAAATCCCGCCTAAATGTAATGTTTCTGTTTAAAGTCATTTTGACTGGACAAGCTGTCCAATGGCCACTTTGGGCCTCTAAGTATTTAATTAAAGTCATGTATTAAAAATAAGGCAACTACATCTGCATTTATCACAAAAGTTTTTCTTCCTGATATCTCTATAGCAAAGAAGATGTTCGCCACGGCTTGCCTTGGTAAGCTCCTGAGAAACACTCTTAAGCAATTAATTATGAACGATTGCAATTCTTATTTCTCATCCACAAGATAGTTGATTTGAGATAACAGCTTCCTCCAAGGAATAACTTAGAGGAAGCATTAAAATTGATAAACTCATCACCTGTGTTATTTGAATTGCACATAAGTTCCATTTTTATATCAATTTATTAAATCAGTTTTTAATTATTTTTCTTTTTGTAAGGTACAAGAGGAAGTAACAGACCCTATTATCAGTGTTTTGTGGTTAGAGTAAAAAGCATGGATTATTAACTAATAATATGCTTAGTGTCACAAGCCATTGTTTTTTCACCCATGCACTTCTATTGTGTTATCTATTGTTACATACAATTTGAAATATCCTTCTTCTTGTTTTGCAGAAACCTAAAGCAGCACCAGTGGAGACTAAGAAAAAAGCTGCAGCAAAAGTATGAAACTGATTGATAACACTGATCTCAGCAGAACACCTCTGTCTGTGTCACATGTGAAACAGATCCATGGCCCTGGAAAGGACAATAAGTTCAGGGCAAAAGCCTTTGAGAAACGTTTTAGATGTTTTGGTACACTTGTTTTTGTTCATTTTTCTTAAGCATGTGATAATTGTATACGAGCAGGGGAGCTGTAATTTGTTATTAATCAATTGTCATGTTATTTTCAGAAGGGACCCAAAGCAAAGAAGGCCAAACCAGCTGAGAACGGGAGCACCAAGGCTGAGGTTTGTGTCTGTAGGACATGATTCATGTTGGCAAATTACCATAATCCACCACTCTGTAATATTATTAACATGTTTTTATAAGTTTCAAGTTTCCCTTAAACAGTAGTCAAATATAACATTGAGCTGTTTATTGCTTTTTCTTCATATGTGAGGAGTGTTGAGGGTACACAGAAATAACACACTGAATGTAAGATACTAATATTAGTGTGAGGGAATTGATTCTTTATTTGCAGACTCTTCAATACTAAAACACAGCTGCTGACCTGTCACATGCACTTGGTGCTTAATGTTAATTTAAGCATACAAAATTACTTACTCAAAAACACACTGCCAATCAAACTCAATAGACTCTCTGCAAGTTCTGGAAATGTCTGAAAATTCACAAACAAATTTGGACTATTACCATTTATGCATCTTGAATAAAGTTTCAGACATCAGAAGTTGTTGTTTCTTGGTGCACTTACCTTGTGTCAATACATTTTTTTTTACCCCCTCCCATTTTATTTGGTATTAAAAGGATCTGTCTCTGACTTCATCAAACTTGCAAGCACCCTGCAATACACTAAATAAGATGAAACATAGGATATAGCAGCATGGCAGTCACAGTTGAGGGTAATGTACTGTCATGCCAAAACAAGCACTGCATGTAACACAGTTTTATTTTCTGTCCCTAGGAGCCAAAGGCCGAAGCCACTGAAGCCAAATGAATAACGGTCGATGTGCTCACTCTGTGTACTTGGTGATTGTACAGTTTTAAATAAGTATTTTTTACCAAGTTTTATATTACAAATGTCATTTATAGGTTTGTTTTGGGCTTGCACTTGATGTAACAAAACTTTGTCGTCACATTCATATCCATTTTATATCGATTTAAAAACGATACCGTCCATATCTTGTAGAAGTGGCATTTTTAGTTTGTCTAATCCTGTTTTTTTATTTTAAACTGCTGAGTAATAGATATTTTCCAACAAGTTGGATTTTAAATCTAATTTTAAACATAAGGCAGCTAAAGAATATTGTTAAAATTTGAGGGAGAATAGGAATTTTACCTTTTATCCCTTGTATTTTAATGTTTAACTAATGACAAGATTTGCTTACCAAATGTTTTGAAACACTGTATGTCGACATTAGATGTAGTCAGTGAAAATGCCACAGAAAAATACTGTTATTAGGTCAAAAGTTTGATACATCCCAAAAACATGTATGATGTGAACCTGATCATCTGATATAAAGTTCTGTTAAGTTATGTTTCTGTTCGGGGAAAGGAAGCTTTTCTGACTTCATGGTTGATCTAAATGTTCTTGAATAAAAATTTTCAAAATGTCATTTTTCTGTGACTTTGTCGTGGGATGAAAACCTTAAAGAGACGGGAAAGGGAAGCAGATTGGTTTTATCTTGAGGGGCCACATTAATTTTAGTTTTTTTTTTCCCATATGCCTGTCTTTCAAACAGCTGATGTGTATTTTTGACAACATCAGCTCCTCTCCTGTATGAATCCCCATAACTGTACATGACTAAACTTTGGCTGACTTGGAACAAAAACAGCAGTGGAAGAAAACCACAAAATTAGGAGTGGAAGAAGTTTCCCTTACTCAGGTAAAAGTACCAGTTCTGCAGTTTGAAAAGACTCCAAATAAAGTATAAGACCTGCAGGAAGTACAGATGGCAAAATACACTATTAAAAATGAAAGTGCTTGTTATAAGTGATCATTACTTTAAAAAATGCCACCTTAATGTTGCAGATTATGGCATATAGAATTTTTTGTTCACTCGTCTTAAGAAAATAATATCTAGTACTCAATAATTACTTAGTAAAACGAAGACGTCTGCTGTGTGTAAAATGTTAATCGACAAAGTAACTCCAGCAATCTCCAGATTGATAACTACAAAAATAAATGTATTTAAAGGTACCCATGATGAAAGGTCTTCAGTCTGATATTACTGATGCATTGAGAAGAATTTTAATATTGCATTTGGTTCAATTTTGGGCAGTTTAATAATCAGTACATCATATTTTATGTGAAGTATGTGTACTCAAGTACATTCTAAGGAAGTGATACTTGAATATTTTAATTACAAGCTGCTTTATAGGTATACTAGGGTATACACAGGGGGGGGGTATTGTACTTTGCTCCACTACATTTTATCCTGCCAGTTCCTTTGCAGTTACCCAATCACTGCTTTTCAGTGTAAAATCTTTTGCCAAAACAGAAGCAGTGGCAGAGAAGTACAATATTTTTATCTGGAATATTGACATGGATATATAAAGTTTGTACAAAAACTAAATATTCTCAAAAAAAAAAAAAAAGCAACACTAAGCTGAGAGTGGTTCCTACCTTTGGAAAACCCTCAGTGTCTTTACAGTATAACACCACTAGAGGGCAGTACCACATCACCGCAGACAGATGAAATACTTGAGTTTATTCCAGCTGGGGTCTCCCTCTGCTTTAACTTGGACAGCCTGAGAAACTTGGTCAAATATGACGCGTTTTGTTTTGAAACGCGTCATATTTTGATTTGAAGCTGATGCTTTCTTTTTTCTTTATAGTTAATTGATGTGTTTAATTTCCTGTGATCTCCGGTAAGGATTCAGTAGTGACAGTAGTGTTCAAATATGGGTCAAATGTAACTTTTCTTTTCTTTCTTTCTTTCTTTCTTAAATAAACAGACAATACATGGTGAGTAAAGGGCACCTACATGTTGAGGTACAATGCAGGAAACTGTGGTAGTACTTGAGAATAAACAAAAATATCTAAATAACTTGAATATATTTCTGGTTAAATTTCTTTCTTTCTCTAAATTTATATAATGACCAATGACTGCATAAGATTTACTGGGACTGTGGGTGAGAGATCAGCAAAATCACAACATCAGAACATATCAGAATATTTGAGCCAAACAAGAAGCAAGTATGTGTGTGGATGAATTACCCGTCAAGGTGACTGTAGGAACACCCTCCATCATGCTCAGGTTCATTGGGCTCATATGCATTCCTGAACTAGAAGAGAAAGTATGATATCCTATACATACTATAGAGTAAACACATATTATAAATCGGTTAACTGTTATGTTACTTCACAT